GCCCGTGTCCTCGTTCGCCGCCCGGCTCTGGAGCTGCTCTCGCTGCTCAAAGGCTCCGATTTCACCCGGCCCGCGGTCAGATACCTCATCTGTATCCTCACATTTGGGATTTGGGAATTGGGGTTTGGGGTTTGGGATTTGGGATGGGAAATTTGGGGATTTGGAGTTTGGGATTTGGGGAATTTGGGATGGGAAATTTGGGGTTTGGGGCAGGAAATTGGAGATTTGTACAGGGGAAATTGAGGTATTTGGGACAGGAATTTGGCATTTGGGGATTGGGATTTGGGATTTGGGGTTTTGGATTTGGGATTTGGGGATTGGGGATTTAGGATTGGGGTTTGGGGTTTGGGAATTTGGGATGGGAAATTTGGAGATTTGGGGTTTGGGATTTGGGGTTTGGGGATTTGGGGTTTGGGATTTGCGGTTTGGGGATTGGGGATTGGGGTTTGGGATTTGGGATTTGGGATTTGGGGTTTGGGGATTTGGGGTTTGGGAAATTTGGGGATTTGGGGTTTGGGATTTGGGGATTTGGGGTTTGGGGATTGGGGATTTAGGATTGGGGTTTGGGATTTAGGAATTTGGGATTTGGGGTTTGGGATCGGGATTGGGAATTTGGGCATTTGGGGTTTGGTATGGGAAATTTGGGGTTTGGGGATGTGGGATTGAGGTTTGGGGATTTGGGGTTTGGGGATTGGGGATGTGGAATTGGGGTTTGGGATGGGAAATTCAGGGATTTGGGATGGGGAGGAAGGTTGGGATGGGAATTCGGGAATTTGGAATTTGGGCAGAGGAAATTGAGGAACTTGTGCTAGCAAGAGGGTGTTTTTAGGGAAATTTGGGAATTTGGGATGGGATGGGGATTTGGGAATTTTTGCAGGGGAAATTCTAGGATTTGTACAGGGGAGGGGGTGTTTGCAGGGAAATTGAGGAATTTGGGGTGGGGATTTGGGAATTTGGGATGGGAATTTGCAGATTTGGAATGGGAATTTATGTGGGGGAAATCCAGGGGTTTGTGCAGGAGAAATTCGGGAATTTGGGATGAGAACTCAGGGATTTGGGATTGGAAATTCAGGATTCGGGGTGGGGATTTGGGATTGGGAATTTTGCATGAGAAAATCTGGGATTTAGGATGGGAATTTGGGAATTGGGATGGGGATTTGGGATTTGGGATGGGAAATTCAGGATTTGGGATAGGAATTTGGGGATTTGGGATGGGAATTTGGGGATTTGGGATGGGGAAATTCAGGAATTGGGGATGGGGATTCAGGAATTTGAGATAGGAATTGGGGATGGGGATATATTTTGCAGGGGAAATTCAGGAATTATGGCAAGGGAACTCTGGATTTTTTTTTGGCTGAAATCAAATTAATCGAATCAAATTAAATTAAATCAAATGAAAATAAATCAAGATAGATTAAATCCAGTCCAATCCTTTGGGGTTTTTCCGGATCTTTCCTTGACGGCCACGCTCAGACGGCGAGCGGGGCACGGGGAAGAGTCTGAGCCTGAGCCACGTCCTGCACGGCTGCTGGCGCCAGGGCTGGCTGATCCTGCACGTGCCCGACGGTCAGGGACCAAAAAAACCCCAAAAACATGAGAATGGGACTCCAAAAACCCTAAAACGCCAAAAAAACCATGAGAGCAGGAGAATGGGACCCCAAAAACCCCAAAATGGGTTGGAGGGACCCCAAAAACAGGAGAACGGGACCTCAAAAACCCAAAATGGGATTGGAGGGACCCTGAAACACGAGAATGGGATTGGAGGGGATCCTAAAACCCTGAAAACGAATGGGACCCCAAAACCCCCAAAAACACGAGAATGGGATTGGAGGGACCCCAAAATCCCTAAACAGGAGAATGGGACCCCAAAAACACAAAAATGGGATTGGAGGAGATCCTAAAAACCACAAAACATGAGAACGGGACCCCAAAAAACCCCAAAAATGGGACTGGAGGGACCCAAAAACCCCAAAAATGGGATTGGAGGGACTCCAAAACCCCAAAAATGGGATTGGAGGGGATCCTAAAAACCCAAAATGGGATTGGAGGGACCTCAAAACCCTGAAAATGGGACTGGAGGGGCTCCCGAGATTGAAGCTCTGGGATTTTTCCGGGGTTTGGAGCTCTGAGTTTGGAGCTCCAGGTTGGGGCACTGGGATTGGTGCTCTGGGGGTGTTTGGGATCCCTTGGTTGGATTTGGGATCCCTTGGGTGATTTTGGGATTCCCTGTGTGGATTTGGGGTCCCTGCGTGGGTTTGGGATCCCCAGGCTGGGTTTGGGATCCCTCCTGTGATCCCCTGGGTGATTTTAGGATCCCCTGATCCCCAGGGTTCCCCAGGAATTGTTGAGTTGGTTCAGGCTCTGCATGGGTCCCAAACTCCCACCCCCACCTGAACCATAATTTTGATTAAACATAAATCAAATCAAATCAAACCCCAGTCGATCCTGATGTTTTATTTTATTTCTCCCAGCTCATGCGTGGGTGCGGAGCTGCCGGGAGCTGCTGCCCTCGTCCCACCGGAGAGAGCGGCTGGAGCAGCCCCTGCAGGCCTCAGCCTGGCTCAGGGCCTTCAAATCCTGCAATGAGCGATTCCTGACAGAGGTGAGGGTTTAATCCCAAACCCCAAACCCTAAAACTTACCCTAAACCCATCCTGAGATCCCAAACCCCACCCCAAACCCGCCCTGGGAGCGGCTGGAGCAGCCCCTGCAGGCCTCGGCCTGGCTCAGAGCCTTCAAATCCTGCAACGAGCGATTCCTGACAGAGGTGAGGGTTTAAT